ATGTTTTTCCTGGAGAGAAGTGGCTTCCTCGCTGCCCTTCTTGACACCAGGCCATCCTCCAAAAGTCTTCGCCTCACTGTGCGTGCAGATGCACTCACACCTGCCTGCTGCCATTCCTGAGCAAGCTCTGCACTGGTGGTGCCCCGATCCCACAGCTGAATCAACTTTAGGAGACGGTCCTGGCGCTTGCTGGACTTTCTTGGGCGCCCTGAAGCCTTCTTCACAACAATTGAACCTCTCTCCTTGAAGTTCTTGATGATCCGATAAATGGTTGATTTAGGTGCAATCTTCCTAGCAGCAATATCCTTGCCTGTGAAGCCCTTTTTGTGCAAAGCAATGATGACGACACGTGTTTCCTTGTAGGTAACCATGGTTAACAGAGGAACAAACATGATTTCAAGCACCACCCTCCTTTTAAAGCTTCCAGTCTGTTATTCTAACTCAATCAGCATGACAGAGTGATCACCAGCCTTGTCCTCGTCAACACTCTCTCCTGTGTTAACGAGAGAATCACTGACATGATGTCAGCTGGTCCTTTTGTGGCAGGGCTGAAATGCAGTGGAAATGTTTTTGGTGGATTAAGTTCATTTTCATGGCAAAGAGGGACTTTGCAATTAATTGCAATTCATCTGATCACTCTTCATAACATTCTGGAGTATATGCAAATTGCCATCATAAAAACTGAGGCAGCAGACTTTGTGAAAATTAATGTGTCATTCTTAAAACTTTTGACCATGACTGTATATATATAAATATATACATATAAATATAGATATTTTTTAAGAGTAATGCCATGGTGGCCGCTGTGCAATTTAGAAGTAGCCCAAAAACCTGCAACCCATGAGCAATACATTTTCACCCGCAACATCGTTTTCAAAGTAGCCCAATTGCGGGAAAACCATAAACATGGCAATCCTGCTCATCAGTGTAGCCTAGTGATGGGTTGCTCGCAAATCACATTGGTGAGAGAGCCCTTCATTTGGCGCCCTAATTTGCATACTGGTAGGCTAGTACTGCTTTTTGGTGATTATCTGCAGATAAATTATGAAAACATTCGATGAAGATGTTGAATCCTCACTGCAGGAACAATAGGTGGTGGAGAGAGAGCCTCATTCTGGTCCAAAATATGATAAAAGAAAACAGATTGAAGGTTCTAAATCCTGATGTCATGATACTTATATGGTTTTATTCAAGATATTGATATAGGCCTACTGTATTGATTAAAGTCTCAATAAAGGAGTAGTCAACTGCTGCTTTTTGTGTAGCAAAGCCCATGTTTAACACCTGCTTCATTCTTCAATTATACCTGTAGGTCTATTCATGGGTGCCTCACTTGGTATAAAAGTGGGGGTGCACAATCTGGCAGGGGGTCTGGGTGTCCTCCCCCTGAAAATATGTGCATTTTACAAACCATAAATTTTTTTGTGTGTCATTTAGCAGACGCTCTTATCCAGAGCGACTTACAGTTAGTGAGTGCATATATTTTCATACTGGCCCCCCATGGGAAACGAACCCACAACCCTGGCGTTGCAAATGCCATGCTCTACCAACTGAGCTACATGGGACTATTTTAATTCTATATTGTTTCTCAACAGGGAATCCATGCTTACTTGACAGAACACAACCTTTTTTCTTAGATTTTTGCCACAATAAACTACATTGAAATAGTAGACTAGATTTTGTTTTTGCCACAATAAATGTCATTGAAAGAGTAGACTATAGGGGTGTAACGGTTCACCAAACCCACGGTTCAGTACGTGTTGCGGTTTTGGGGTCACATTTCGGTACAGCGGGAAAATGAAATGCCATTTACAATGTTCAGCATTCACAATGTTCCTGGCATTGTTTGTTGTGATAGGATTGTTATGCTGGGCCTCTCAAGTTTTAAAATAATTGGGAATTCACAAGTTGTGAAGTCATAAATACCAGTTGGATGCATTCATGTGATTTGAACTGGTTGAGAAATACCGATTGGCTAATGGCCAACAAGCTGCGTCAACTAAAAGTACAGCTATCATGCTTGTAAACAAATTAAATAGTTCAAAAACCACATTAATAGATTGCTTTTTATAAATAAAGTTTTGTTGTTGCATATAACTGCTGAAAATACTATTATAGATACCATTTACTTAATAGGTGGCGTCAGAGGTTACCATGTGGGAGAAGTGGGTGCTCAGGATGATAGACGAGTTTCCCACTAGTAATTACCAGTTGGAGGGCCATTCAAGTGGATTTTCCCCAGTCGTTTGTGGTAAGTTCCCACTTTTATCTTTGTTACGAACGCACCATGACACTGCCTCCTTCAGTTCCAGATAAGCATAAAGAGGGCGTGTCTGTAGCATGTTACATCTCCCACTCCGGGGTAATGTGATGGGTTGTCACTGTTAAGTAAGCGCAACACAGGGTTTATTGGTCAATTAACTGAAAACCACAGAGAATTGGTGCATATCCGCCGCTATAAACCAAAGACTGTAAAAAATATATATATAAACATAGCCTACCTATCGCGCTTGTAATTTCTTTGGCCTAGTCAGAATCAGCTGCCTAAGGCTGCTTGAATGCAGAGTGGAGGCGATGTTATGTTGTTGTTTCTTTGCGTTTCCGTCTTGCTCCGGTATACTGGGGTGATGTTGGTGTAAATGTGTCAACATATTTGAGGTGTTGGCAGCTACATAGGCTATTCTCATTGAGCGTGGTGACATAATGTTAACGTTTTATCCACAACTCTGTCCATCGCCGTTGTAATCTACTAGGAAGCCAAAATGTTCCCAAACTGGAGATTTAAACGATGGAGGATCCTCCAATTCTGGTTTATCCACCACTCGCCATCGTACAGAACTAGTACCCGGTTGCGCCTCACAAAAGGACAGTTTGAAATGCACCAAATAAGATTTGAATTTTGATTACAACATGTGCATAGGCTCTAGCTGTTTTAACAGAATAGCCTGAAATGTTAGTTTTTTTACCATTTCAGATTTATTCAAGAAGCATAGTCCTACAAGGCAGCGTAGACATAGGATATAGGCGTAGAGTTTTTATTTTGTAAAATTTTTTTCTATGTATTATTTTGGGTTCACAGTGCGGACCGAACCAAGGTCCCCGTACCAAACAGTTTGGTACGAATACCTGTACCGTTACACCGCTAGTAGATTAGACTAGTTTTTCTTACTAGATTACTAATCTACTGCCTTCCTTCAAAGTCCCACCCACACTGTTTGATTGACAGGTCTGAAACCCTACCAACTCTGTGACTCACAAACATCCTGCCCCCTCCCTTGACAACCCTACCCACAGTGATTGATTGACAAGCCAAACTGTTAAAGGGATAGTTCACCCAAATTACAAAATGACACATTGGTTTCCTTACCCTAAGTGTCCACAGCAGCAGAGTCAATAAAATACATAATATGAATAACAAACATCATTGTGGCAATTTATATCTTGCAGCAAAACTGTAAATATGACTTTAATCTCAAGAGAAGACAGATTTAATGTTAAAAAAGGTTATCTTACTTAGAAGATCGTCCTGATCACATAGGCGAGTCATGTCAGGTAGAGTCATGTCTTTCTACGCAATACCACAACTCATATTACCAATCTGGGAGGTAAAGTTGTTTAAGTATTCAATAATTTAACTGTGTATTTTGGATGGAATCAAGGCATTAGAATGTACTAGAGGCTACCAAAATAGAGGGGAAAAAAATCCCAGGGGGCATGCCCGGGTTTGCTACTCCATGTACTTATGGAAAACGTGTGTGTGTGTGTGTGATCAAACGTGATCTGATGTGATGGTGCAGGAGTACAGTGTAGCACTAGAGAAAGGTAGGGAGATCAAACTCTGTGTAGAACCTGTCTGATGCTTTTTATGAGAGGTAGAGAGGGAGAGAAAGCGCACGACAGAGGGTGAAAGCAACAGAGAGAGCGAGGGAGTGCCATAGTCACAGAGAAAAGCAAAGCTACGTTTCTGATCAGAGAGAGAAAGAAAGAATATAAAGGCAGAGAGAGAGACAGCACAAATAGAAAATGAGAGCAAGTGAAAATGAAAGAGAGTAAGAGCGAGGAGGAGAGGGAAGGACAGAGGGTTGCGTGGTGCAGAGGAGCAGTAGTGGTAGAACTAAGAAGAGAGCTCCCATCTCCACTCAATTACTCAGGCTGCATTCAGAACCACAACAGCGCTCAGCTCTCAAGAGCACCAACACAAAAAACACTCCACACACAAACACACAGGAATAGATAGAGGGGGCAAAGGAGAGGAGATATAAGGAGAAGGGAGGAGAGAGGGAGAGGAGGGAAGAGGGAGAGAGAGATGAGATAGATGAGTGGTGGCGAGGAGGAGAGAGGGAGAGGAGGGAAGCCAGAGAAAGGAACAGAAGGAGAGAGCAGTGTGATTGAGTGGTTGAGAGGACGAGTGAGAGAAAGGGGAGGCAGAAGAGTGTTTCAATCTGACCGTTGAAAATAAAAGCCTTAAGAGGGAAAAAATATGGCAAAAAGAGGATAACTGGAGAGAGAAAAAAGATAAGAACAGAGAATACTCCTTTCTCAAGTAGCATTAGTCTGTTGTGTGTTCACACTGATCCTCTCTCCTTTTACAGATGCAATGGGTCGATGCACTTATCCAATTCTTTCAGATCTACACTGGTGCAGAGAAGTTGCCCGGCTACCCAAACGCTACGCCAGGCCCTTTCTTCTCTGCAATGAGTCTGGATCTGAGTACCTCCCCGACAATTTCTAGAACGCAAACACATTCTAATCATTATGATTGGTCCCAGAAACCATTGGGTTGGGACAGAGCCAGAACACACGTGGGTAAAGCGGCGTTTTGATTGATCCAATCGCTGTCATAAACAACTTCAACGACGGCAGTCTCAAACTGAAGTATGTAGCGAACATAGAGCAGTTTGAGTCTTCAGCCAAGCAGAGAAGTTGCTGCGGGTTCATAAGGGACTGGGAATGGATGGATAGGTAAAAGCATAACGGCAATATGGTAGTAGTAATAATAGTTAAGTGATTTTCCAGTGGCTCACCTGTGCTGCCTCCCAGCCCCACTGCCTGTATTTGGGGTCGTGGGTGAACCTCCACATGTACCAGTAGGTCTCGATGACCTCTGGCCTCAGGATGTAGTACTTCTCATTCTGACGCACCGCCACCGCCTCCAGGCCACTGTCAAACTTAAAGGCCTCTGGACCCAGCTTCAACACTATGGAGAGAGGGAGGGAGATGGAGAGAGAGAGAAAAAAGAGGGATTCAATATCCATTGATTTTTCTGGTTGAGCAATAAGTACACAACACATTTCCTGCCAATTAAACGTTTGGAGTTAGAATGTAATAGGAACAGATTACAGTGATCAAGCAGCAGACAGATTTGTTCCGCACGCCTTGTCACTGTGTGTGGGAACAGAACACAAGTTCATAAAAAGAGACAGCCGGATAAAAAACTAGAAAATATCATCACTGTAAAACTTTACTTTTAGGAAGATCAGCCAATTCCCATGGTAACCACACTTAAAAAACCCAACACATCATTATTCTAAGCTCACACAAAATCTGACTCACCATCGCACTTATGTTCTCTTGGCGACAACTCAAATCCATGGCAACCAAACTACCCCATAATAAGTTATCATTTATACCTAAACTTTATTTGATTTCTCTATATGTTTAAGTGTGTGTGTGTTTCTCCGTCTCACCGGTGCGGTCGTAGGACTCATGGCAGGTGTGTGCGATCTCAGCCCCCAGCTGTAGGTAGTGTCCGGCCTTGTCGTCAGGCGAGCCGTCGGCCCCCAGAGCAAACATCCCCCCGGCGAAGCAGGTCAGGTGACCCATCTTCCTCTCCAGGTGGCCGTTCTTCCACTCCCCGATAAACGTCAGGCCGCCGTTGGACTTACGGATCAGGTGGCGCTCGATGGCCTGGAAGGAGGTGCGGAAAGGATATGTGTGGTGATGGTAGAAGGAGTAGGTGTGTGTATGTGTGTGTTTAGGGAGGAGAGAGAGAGATAGAAGACAGGTAGTTAGTCCCTGGCACAGTAGAGGGAACAGGAACAAAGTTGTTTAAGTGTCCTCAGCTCCAGTCCTTGAGAGAAGCAGCAGAATCGTCTGTCCTCCTCCTCTCCCTGGCACCTACTGTACTTGATCAATCAATGTCAATAACTGGCAACAGAGTCCAGGCATCTGCTTCCTGTTAAATCACTCACTGATTAAAATGCAAAGATGGAGCCCATTACACTGCAGTTAAAGGACTTTGAGGAGTTGAGGCGCAATCCTAACTATCTGGTAAGAAGGATATAGAGCAAGGTAGTTGCTAATTCAGGGTAGGATAGTTGAAACACAGCTGTGTGTATGTCAATCAAAGCCATCTCAATGGAGACCAGATAAAGGTGGTCCATCTCCATGGAGACAGTTAAGGGTTGCTCGCCTCCATGGAGACCAGCTAAAGGTGGTGCGTACCTCAATGGCGTCGTCGTAGGTCTTGCGGGCCTCTGTGTCCGTCTTGTCTGACATGAGCCAGGCCTTCAGCAGGTATTCATAGAAACTGTCCCCCAGACCTCCTACTGATGTATGGTCTACAGGGGGGAGAGAGAGAGAGAGGAGGAGAAAGAGAGAGGGGGAGGGAGGGAGGGAGGAGAGGAGGGAGGGAGGGAGGGAGGGAGGGAGGGAGGGAGGGAGGGGGGAGAAAGATGAGAGGGTGGGAAAAGAGGGACCAAAGTGAGGGAGAGAGAAATAATAAGAGGGAAGGACAAAAAGGGAGAAGATAATTTATTCATTGGATGTTTTCTTCCAAACTCCAACCAGAGCCAACACTATTCTTCAGAGAAGGATTTTTAAGTTACAGAAAAAAACGACATGGAGACGCTTTGTCCCCCTTACAGTATGATGGCAGAGACTAGATGATCGTGGTTGTTTACTCTCTCTCTGATGTACTCCATCTTAATGTCCCCAATGTCCCAATAGAAGTTGATTAAGCCTTTATAGCTGGCCTAATTACAGTGACACCACATTACAGTGAGCCAGAGGCTGTGCCAACTCTCGCTCAGCGAGAAGACACAGATGGTAGCCAAACAAACGCACACACACGCACATACACACACACTTGATCAATCTCTCACAGACTACCCTGTTTAGCTTCATTTGTTAGCCAGCAGGACCTTAAGAGATGCTATTGTGTAAATCAAATCAAATTTTATTTGCCACATGCGCCGAATACAACAGGTGTAGACATTACCGTGAAATGCTTACTTACAGCCCTTAACCAACAATGCATTTTTCTTAATAACAAAGTAAAATAAAACAACAAAAAAGTGTTGAGAAAAAAAGAGCAGAAGTAAAATAAAATAACAGTAGGGAGGCTATACACAGGGGGGTATCGGTGCAGAGTCAATGTGCGGGGGCACCGGCTAGTTGAGGTAATATGTACATGTGGGTAGAGTTAAAGTGACATTGCATAAATAATTAACAGAGTAGCAGTAGCGTAAAAAGATGGGGTGGGGGTGGGGGGGCAGTGCAAATAGTCCGGGTAGCCATGATTAGCTGTTCAGGAGTCTTATGGCTTGGGGGTAGAAGCTGTTGAGAAGCCTTTTGGACCTAGACTTGGCGCTCCGGTACCGCTTGCCATGCGGTAGCAGAGAGAACAGTCTATGACTAGGGTGGCTGGAGTCTTTGACAATTTTGAGGGCCTTCCTCTGACACAGCCTGGTATAGAGGTCCTGGATGGCAGGAAGCTTGGCCCCAGTGATGTACAGGGCCGTACCCACTACCCTCTGTAGTGCCTTGCGGTCGGAGGCCGAGCAGTTGCCATACCAGGCGGTGATGCTACCAGTCAGGATGCTCTCGATGGTGCAGCTGTAGAACTTTTTGAGGATCTGAGGACCCATGCCAAATCTTTTCAGTCTGCTGAGGGGGAATAGGCTTTGTCGTGCCCTCTTCACGACAGTCTTGGTGTGTTTGGACCATGATAATTCGTTGGTGATGTGGACACCAAGGAACTTGAAGCTCTCAACCTGTTCCACTACAGCCCTGTTGATGAGAATGGGGGCGTGCTCAGTCCTCTTTTTTTTCCAGTAGTCCACAATCATCTCCTTTGTCTTGGTCACGTTGAGGGAGAGGTTGTTATCCTGGCACCACACGGCCAGGTCTCTGACCTCCTCCCTATAGGCTGTCTCATCGTTGTCGGTGATCAGGCCTACCACTGTTGTGTTGTCGGCAAACTTAGTGATGGTGTTGGAGTCGTGCCTGGCCATGCAGTCATGGGTGAATAGGGAGTACAGGAGGGGACTGAGCACGCACCCCTGAGGGGCCCCCGTGTTGAGGATCAGCGTGGCAGATGTGTTGTTACCTACCCTTACCACCTGGGGGCGGCCCGTCAGGAAGTCCAGGATCCAGTTGCAGAGGGAGGTGTTTAGTCCCAGGATCCTTAGCTTAGTGATGAGCTTTGAGGGCACTATGGTGTTGAATGCTGAGCTGTAGTCAATGAATAGCATTCCGCCTCCCTCTGGCTAAAGCCATGCTCTGACGCTAACACAGCTAGCCAGCTTATGACTCAGCAGTGTTAATCAACAGTGAAGCTAACGATGCTAACCAATGCTGAGGGAGTCATTGAGAGCAGTGGGGCTAGAGCCATTGGCGGTCCTAGTCCACAGCTAGTGCTGGGGCTTACGGCTAAATACTTATGGCTAATGGTAAGTGAATATTGTGTGAAATGTGCTGGCTGGGCTCGTTAGCATAGCATGTCCAGCGCTGGGGAGAGGCGTGTAGTGGAGAGATGGGCATTTCTTCAGCAGATGTTTCAGTGGTGTGTTATGTTAGTCAGGAGAGAGCTAATGCTAACAAAGGTGCTGCTGGAACAGACCGTTTTATAGTAGTTGACAGCTGGGGCTTTATTATGATAACATTACTCGTAGGTCTGTCTGTATGTCTGTCACTCTCTCCATGGGTCGGTTTGAAATACCTACAGACATGTCTTTGATTTAACACTGGCACTTTCTATATGGCTACAACACAAACATTCACATCTCTCACACACAGAGGTATAGATTTATGGCAACACGATTACTTTGTGTATTTTCCATAGTCACACACACTGCTCATTACTTTGAGTGACAATCCTCCTCCCATCTCTTCCAAAGACACACACTCACAGCAAAAGTGTGCCCAGAGAGAGAGAAGAGAGGAGAGAGGAGAGAGAGGAGAGCGATCAAGAGAGATGAGCTGAAGAGACTCACAGACACATAGTAAAATGTTTTCTATGCAAAATTGGCATTCCCCTGGCAAAAGAAAGGAGGGAGAGAGAGAAGTTGAAATGAATAATTCATTTTCATATGGAGGGATGGAGAGATTGAGAAAAAAAGAGAAATAACAAAAACCTACACAAACAACATTGGAGAGGGGTAGACATAGTAGGGCACAGTGTGTATGTGTGTGTGTGTGTGTGTGTGTGTGTGTGGGGGGGGGGGGGTGGGGTCAGGTTGAGCAGTGAGAGGCAGAGACAGTAATTAAACCTCTCTCTCAGTCAGGGTAATAAACAGAGTTAGTTAAGACACCGCCTGCCAAAAACTTCTAATTATACATATTTATAAAAAAGAAAAACACTACTCACACACATTAATTTACAGAGCCTAGCGCCCCCTGCACCTGTCACACCCACACACAGTGGTGGGCGCCAGGGCTGGCCTCAATTCAGAATTGAATTGAGAATGCCTCATAAATTCCAGTTAATTTCTTAAATTGAATTTTAATTGAAGTAGTAAACAGGACACAGAATTGCAATTCGAATTTGAATGAAAGAAAATAGTAAAATTAAATGAAATTCAAATGCTTCTTCTATTCTATATTAGATGTAGTCTATACAAATTGTACATAAAACATGTTGTTATATAAATATTGTTGAAACAATTAATTTTCAGGACAAACTCTTAAAATGAAAACCTGTATGCAAATATTCTAAGTTATTATATTTCATTAATCACTTACATTTTGTTCAATATGGGGAAAATACTACATTCCCCAGAATGCAATAGTTTAAACCTCAAATTGACCCTGAGGCCAAATGAAATAGTTGGTGGAAATATAATTGGCTATTCTAAGCACGAAGGTTAAGAATAAAGTTAAGAGTATATGAACATTGTTTCTAGAGAAAAGTGATATATTGTTTGGTATCTGGAAGTGTGACCGATCAGATTCAATGAAACTCTCATGTTCTATGACTGAGTGGAATTTATTTAAATTGTGCTGAATTAAATTCTACTTCCTGTCACTCAAATTATACATCCTGTGGGGTGTGGCCAACTCAATTTGAATTTCAACTCATGAGCTGAATGGGAGTAAATTCAAAAATTCTGAGTTGAGCTCAACCCTGGTGCTAACACACACACACACACACACACACACACACACACACACACACACACACACACACACACACACACACACACACACATCAGTGTTATTCTCTGAAGTTGAGCGAGACAAGAGGTACTTACGTTGGCCCCAGCGACCAGTACGAGGGTTCAGATAGTTGGGGTAGAGCCCGTTGGGTCGGTCCATTTTGGCCAGCAGCTTCCGTATGTGCATCACCTGATAGGGTTAGAGGAGACATGGATATCTCTCACCCAGGGGAACACACAGACTCAGACAGACACCAGTACTAAGGAGGTGTCTCACCTTCTGGTAGTAGGCAGGGTTCCCAGTGAGGTAAGTGAGGTGGACAAACTCCATGTGGAGGGTTCCAAACTCTGCCAGGATACTACTGCCTGCTGATGCCCAGCCCCAGTTACGCCCCACACCACTACACACAGGGAAAGAGAAAGGATCAACTTCAAATCATTGAGTAGAGAATCTTGCTGACATGCCATTGTTGCAGTTGTGGACGTAGATCTAGGGTTAGGTTGTGGTCAGATGTAAATCTAAGGTTGCGTTTTGGTCTGAGACTGACCTCTTGAGGTTGACCATGGCCCAGGGGATGCCTGTGGGAGTGTTGAAGGCAGGGAGCAGCTTCTCAGCCAACTGTACCGCCTTCACCTTAAACACCTAGAGACAGAGGGAGAGAGAGGGTGAATGAAAGCTTTATTGGAAAAGCTGTGAAAAAGCTTCAGAGATGGAGAACATATTTTTTACAAGAGACAACAAGACAGCAGAGAAAACGGTAAGCGTTTACACAGGACAGAGAAACAGTGGCCAAATGAACATGACAAAGCATCTGAATTGGTTTACAGGAGAGGCTGAGCATATTGCGGAGGTGGAGGGCAGAACTCCCCCTCAGAGACCACTAGAATAACAGTTGAACCACATTAGAATAACAGAGTGTACAAAACATTAAGAACACCTGCTCTTTCCATGACATCGACTGACCAGGTGCATTCAGGTGAAAGCTATGATCCCTTATTGATGTCACTTGTTAAATCCACTTCAATCAGTGTAGATGAAGGGGAGGAGACAGGTTAAAGAAGGATTTTAAAGCCTTGAGACAATTCAGACATGGATTGTGTATGTGTTCTATTCAAAGGGTGAATGGGCAAGAGAAAAGATTTAAGTGCCTTTGAACAGGGTGCTAGGCGCACCGGTTTCTGTCAAGAACTGCAACGCTGCTGGGTTTTTCATACTCAACAGTTCCCCGTGTGTATCAAGAATGGTCCACCACCCAAAGAACATCCATTTCCCTTTTTCCCGCCATTTTTAACCGATTCAAGCTCACCCTCTTCCTCCCTCTCTCTCTTCGACCTCCTCTGCATCTCTTTTTCCCTCAATTCCTCCTCCGTATTCCAAGTATATGTCTCATGATAATACTGCACTTCTCCTGACATACATCTTGTTCTTGCCCTCTCAAGGGACGCCATTTTCCTCTCCCAGCAGCCCCCTTCACTCCCACCAACATCCCCCACAGGAAGTTGGAGCATTTAACTGCCATTTCCTGAAATCTAGTCTTAAATTATATCAAATAATGTAGCAAACACAAAAGTCTTATGTTTGATCCTAAATTAAATTGAGGTAGTCTCAATGACACTAGGTTAAATTTAGGGGTAATGATTATTCTAATTAATATGTATCTTTATGTGGATAGTTTAGTGAAAATGTAAACTGGCTTCTTAATTTTGTAGTAGTCTAGCTTACTGTAGGCTATTTGGAATATGAAATAACTGAACTAGGCCTTTTAGAGCTTGTTTCAGATCTCCATCACTGACCTCATCCATCAAGTTAGGTCTGACTACTAGGCTACCATTCATACAACATGCCTTGTTGTTATTGGTGAACTGACTATTATCACATCATCAGCCTACTGATAGGCCTACAGATATATCAAGTGGGCAGATCAAGAACTGAATAATTAACATAGGGCTACTAATCTTTAACAGTCCAACATAACTTTCTGTAAAGGACGGTATTAGCTCTCTCTGCCATGTCTGTTTCTATCTACACAGCGACGCCGTTGCTAACTACCTTCGTCGTAATGATGCCTGAGTGAAGGCGCTAACTATGTGCTTGACTAACACACCATTTTTGAACACATTTTTGGCAAACAGTTTGTTCTCCATTTTCACCACACATCAGTGGTATCAATGGACGAAGTGGAGAGCTGCCATCCAGCTCGAGGGAGAAAAATAGTACTATGACTACGGGGGCAGGCCGGAGCGGAGAACTAGATACTTTTTCTCCTCGCCCAAGTCCTCTGATTGGCTCAGCTCCAACTTCAGACGGTTGAGTCAAAAACCACAATGTGCCAACTAGAAGCCTATTTTTCTGTATTTTAGGGTCGTTTTTCGTACCCGCGTACTTTGACCTCAAATTGCATGCATGGTACGCAAAATGAATGCCGGTTGGCTGGTCTGTATCACTCCCTCTCTTTCTCTTAATTTCTCTCTCTCTGTCTGTCAGTCTCTGATCCCCTCTGTTGTACTGTTGATGTTTCCATCTCGTCCTGTCTGCCCGAAGATAGCTTTACCTGGAGCCTATTAAAATGCATTACTGTACACGCCAACCAATGACTGAGGGATATAGGCTATTCCATCTTCACACAAACCTTCCCTTGGCTCTTCACTCATAACATCTGAAAGAGATGTTTTGAAATGGAGGCACTACCTGAAATTCCAATAAGAGTTATTTTTTTATGTGCCTACTGAAAAAGAACCAGAAAATAAGTGCTGAGAGCAGAGCTTGGGTTGAACAATGTTTTCTCTCTCAATGGCTCTTTCGTCCTGACCTGTAGCCCACCAAAGAAAGGGGCGAGGGCAGAGTTTGAGTTGAACGAGAGAGCACCCACTATCTCGCTCTCAATCCCCCTTGGCTTGAATGCCCTCGCTCTCTTTCTCTCTCTCCATCCCTCTTTCAGTCCCATAGACCAGGCAAACAAGAACAAGGGCAATTTGGGGCTGAACAAGCTTTCTCTCCCTCTCTCTCCATCCCTCCATCAGGATTAGCTATGAGGCCAGGTCGGCAGGCCGGGGAGGTTGGCAGTATTCCCAGGCTGCAGATTTGTAGCGCTGGCTCTGGCTGGTCGTAGTTCTGCCTGCAATCAGCTGCTCCAACCGATCCTCTAACTCAGGAGCTGATCCTGTTATTACACATAGGAGGAGCTGATCCTGTTATTACACATAGGAGGAGCTGATCCTGTTATTACACATAGGAGGAGCTGATCCTGTTATTACACATAGGAGGAGCTGATCCTGTTATTACACATAGGAGGAGTTGATCCTGTTATTACACATAGGAGGAGTTGATCCTGTTATTACACATAGGAGGAGTTGATCCTGTTATTACACATAGGAGGAGTTGATCCTGTTATTACACATAGGAGGAGTTGATCCTGTTATTACACATAGGAGGAGTTGATCCTGTTATTACACATAGGAGGATATGAGCCTTGCTCTCCCTGGCATAGAACCCCAGTGCCACTCAGCCTGCCAGAGAGCACACATGCATACAGAGATACACACACACGTGCACAAACAAACACACAAACTCTCATATCTCTCTCTCCGGGGGAGGATGTCACTGTGTACATGTAAAGGAGTCCCATAAAAAGATTAGAAGGTATACTGTGAAATCTGGTGAATGAGCCTGTTTAGGAAAAAAGGCCCTCAAGGACCCCAGGGAAAGACAGGATTAAGTCAACAAACGCAGTGTGTCCTATGGGGCTTACTATGTTTGTTCTTCATGCTAGTTATTTATCCTTTAACTTGTTGCTCCTTTATTATTTGTCATCTATTATATTCTATTGTATCAGTCCTTAGTGCTTTATTGAAACATGCTTGGAAATCCATGGGACTGTGTTCTTGGGGATTTAACCACAACTGCATGACTGAATTGACTAATCAAGCAGCGGTTTTACCTGGGCTCAGGCCATTCTTCCAAACAAGAGGATTGTAGGCCCTCCAGCTCAGCCAGTCATTGCATGATTATCTTCTATATTTTATTTATTTATTTTACCTTTATTTAACTTGGCAAGTCAGTTAAGAACAAATTCTTATTTACAATGACGGCCTACACCGGCCAAACCCGGACGACGCTGGGCCAATTGTGCACCGCCCTATGGGACTCCCAATCACGGCCGGTTGTGATACAGCCTGGAATCGAACCAGGGGGTCTGTAGTGACGCCTAAAGCACTGAGATGCAGTGCCTTAGACCGCTGCGCCACTCGGGAGCCCAATATATGGCCTGTAAGACATAGCTGAATCTCTCACATCCATATTCATGGGTACTGTTCATCTGCAGTGTAGCAATCACATCTCTTGCTCTCTCTCTCCCCCCACATCGCTCGCTCTTCCCTCACCTCCCACAACCCCCCCCCTCCTCCTCCTCCTCCTCCTCCTCCTCCCCCCCCCCTCCTCCTCCTCCTCCTCCCCCCCCCCCCCCTCCTCCTCCTCCTCCTCCTCCCCTCCTCCTCCTCCTCCCCCCCCCCCTCCTCCTCCTCCTCCTCCTCCCCCCCTCCTCCCCCTCCTCCTCCTCCTCCCCCCCCCCCCCCCCCTCCTCCTCCTCCTCCTCCTCCTCCTCCTCTCGCCCTCTCTCGCTGCCTGCAGGTGCAGTTGCGGCCAGTCAGTCAGTGTGACAGAGGAAGCAGTGTTCTGCCTTTGATGGGCTCCATGTTTGACAATATGAGAAGGAGTCAAGCGCTCCCCAGCAAAACAGACAGACCCATAGCCTCGGTTCACAGCACCTCACTGAAAGACGGATAGCAAAGTAGGGAGATGGAGGGAGGAAAAACATGTATCGTAGAGACAGGTTAGAGAAGCAAAAATAATTGTACAGCTGTCTAGGTCTTGTGCTGTGTATCACAATATCCCTCACTCCCTCCATCTGCCTCCCTCCCTCTCTCTGCAGGGTGGCTCCAGCAGGCCATGTCTAGCAGCAGTGTGTCAGTGTCTGCAGTTTTCCTTAACTCTCAGCTCATTATCTTACATTACAAGCCCAGCTCCCTTCTCCGGTTTTATCTTTGCAATCAGCTAGATCTCTGTGTTTCTCTCTTCGTTTCTCTCTCTCTACCTCCCCCAGTCTCTCCCTCTCTCCCTTTCTCGCTCTCCCTCTCTAGTTCTTGCTCTACCTGCGGAGAGCTTATTACTATGCACAAACTCTGTTGACAGTAGAGCGCCAGCCGCTTTCACCTCAACTACATATCCCAGAGAAACTAAAACCTTTCACCTAAACTACATACAGTGCCTTCAGAAAGTATTCACACCCCTTGACTTTTTCCACATTTTGTTGTGTTACAGCCTGAATTTAAAATGGATTAAATTGAGATTGTGTCACTGGCCTACACACAATACCCCATAATGTCAAAGTGGAATTAAAAATTAACAAAATGCAAAAAGCTGAAAAGTCTTGAGTCAATAAGTATTCAACCCCTTTGTTATGGCAAGCCTGAATAAGTTCAGGAGTAGACATTTGCTTAACAATTCACATAATGAGTTGCATGGACTCACTCTGTGTAATAATAATGTTTAACATGATTTTTGAATGACTACCTCATCTCAATACCCAACACAAACAATTATCTGTAATGTCCCTCAGTCGAGCAGTGAATTTCAAACACATATTTAACCACAAAGACCAGGCAGAGACAGCAAGGGCGGTTTGTCGCTCCAGTGCCTTGCCGTTCACCTTCGCACCCCTGGGCCAGACTACACTCAATCATAGGACCTACTGAAGAGTTGAATCTTCAGTAAAGACTTAAAGGTCGAGACCGAGTCTGCGTCTCTCACATGGATAGGCAAACTAAATTCCATAAAAATGGAGCTCTATAGGGGAAAGCCCTTCCTCCAGCTGTTTGCTTAGAAATTCTAGGGACAATAAGGAGGCCTGCATCTTGTGACCGTAGCGTACGTGTAGGTATGTATGGCAGGACCAAATCGGAGAGATGGGTAGGAGCAAGCCCATGTAATGCTTTGTAGGTTAGCAGTACAACCTTGAAATCAGCCCTAGCCTTAACAGGAAGCCAGTGGAGGCTAGCACCGGAGTAATATGATCACATTTTTTGGTTCTAGTCAAGATTCTAGCAGCCGTGTTTAGCACTAACTGAAGTTTATTTAGTGCTTTATCCGGGTAGCTGGAGAGTAGGGCATTGCACTAGTCTAATCTAGAATTGACAATAGCATGGATTAGCTTTTCTGCATCATTTTTTGGACAAAAAGTTTCCGATTTTTGCAATGTTACGAAGATGGAAAAAAAGCTTCCCTTAAATTCTTGATATGTTCGTCAAAAGAGATCAGGATCCAGAGTAATTACATTTACATTTTTACATTTTAGTCATTTAGCAGACGCTCTTATCCAGAGCGACTTACAGGAGCAATTAGGGTTAAGTGCCTTGCTCAAGGGCACATCGGCAGATTTTTCACCTAGTCGGCTCGGGGATTAGAACCAGCGACCTTTCGGTTACTGGCACAACACTCTTAACCGCTAAGCTACCTGCCGCCCCAGGTAATGGCTGTAATGGTGTGATAGGAGATAACTGAGGATGGATCAACAACATTGTAGTTACTCCACAATACTAACCTAAATGACAGAGTGAAAAGAAGGAAGCCTGTACAGAATAAAACATATTTCAAAACATGCATCCTGTTTGCAATAAGGAACTAAAGTAAAAATGTGGCTAAATAATGAACTTTATGTCCTGCATACAAAGCGTTATGTTTGGGGCAAATCCATCAACACGTCAGTTGATGGGGGGATTTTTTTAGGATAAAAAGAAACGTAATAGAGCTAAGCACACGCAAAATCCTTGAGGAAAACCTAGTTCAGTCTGCTTTCCAACAGACACTGGGAGACAAATTCACCTTTCAGCAGGACAATAACCTTAAACTAAAGGTCAGGGGCCTCCCGAGTGGCACAGCGGTCTAAGGCACTGCATCGCAGTGCTTGAAGCTTCACTACAGATCCGGGTTCGATCCCAGGCTGTGTCACAGCCGGCCATGATCGGGAGACCCATGAGGCAGCGCACAATTGGCCCAGCGTCGTCCAGGTTAGGGGAGGGTTTGGCCGGATGGAATTTCCTTGTCCTATCGTGCTCTAGCGACTCCTTGTGGCAGACCGGGTGCCTCACATTGGTGAGGCTGGCTTCCGGGTTAAGCGAGCAGCGTGTCAAGAAGCAATGCGACTTGGCAGGGTCACGTTTCGGAGGACGCATGGCTCTCGACCTTCGCCTCTCCCGAGTCCGTAAGGGAGTTGCAGCGATGGGACAAGACTAACTACCAATAGGATATCATGAAATGGGGGAGAAAAAGGGGTAAAAAAACAACAACAAAAAACACAAATCAAAATATACACTGGAGTTGCTTACCAAGATGACATTCAATGTTCCTGAGTAGCCTAGTTACAATTTTGACTTAAATTGGCTTGAAAATATATGGCAAGACTTGGTTGTCTAGCAATGATCAACACAACAACCACTTTGACAGAGCTTAAAGAATTTCGAAAAGAAT